TTCACCTTGAGTTACGCAACCGATTATATTGCAGATGAGACAGCGACTTCTTTTGCAGATGAGCTGATGTTGGTCCTGCAAGAAGTCAGTAACATCTCGAATTTATAATCCTAGGATTTATTTATCGATCTCTATGTATGTGGTCAAACTATTGAAAGCTAATGACCACGGTAAATTGTTTGGGCACAGAAAAAATAAGCAGTCAGATTTTGTATCTTTGTAAGCATGTACATTTCTTTGTGTAAATATATATACGTAAATTACTAACATTTGAGTATTTTTAATGTCCATGAAAGATCAGTTTAAAGTCAAAATGGTGAGAAATATTCTAAAAATACGGAGTCATAACATATCTCGTAACATCTATGACAAATACACACACACATATATATATATATCCCCAATCCTATGTCTTGTTGTCGTGGGGGGATAAGGAGCTCAGCGCTCGCCTCAGCTCATTTTGCAGGGTCTTCTCGTCTTTCCTTTTCATCCTCTTCTTCTGTCCTCTTATCCTAATCGTTAACTCATTTTTACCCCTTTTTGCCACAATACTTTATCATAATGCTGTACTTGGGGCTTCACCTCCAAGTACATGTATATATGTTTATACACACACACACACATACACACACACACACACACACACACACACACACACACACACACACACACACATATATATATATATATATATATATATATATATATATATATATATATATATATATATACACAGTTTTTACATAATGCCGAACAGATTGATGTCGGATAGGAACGCAAATTCTAATAGCGACCAGGAGATTTAATATGTATACATACATACATCTCTCTCTCTCTCTCTTTATATATATATATATATATATATATATATATATATATATATATATATATATATATATATATATATATGTATGTATGTATGTATATATGTATATATATATTTATACATATATATGTACCAATAATAAATAAATCAAATTTTACTACAGTAACGTGTACACAGAAAATATACACAAATTAAGTGAAGCTCAATGTCACAATAAAAACGAGATAAAGATATTTCGAATTCGTCAAGATCTTACGTGCAACTCCATCTTGGTCTGTCTTTCTCTCTCTGTATACTGTCTGCATAAATAAATCTTAATATTTTCTCTCTCTTTCTCAGACTCATTCTCTCTCTCTCTCATTCTCTCTCTCATAAACATAAATGCATAAACTGGGTACATTTATACTAAACTCATATTCATCACCGTAATCAATTAATTACACATACAATTTATTCTTTACCTACTCAAAACGTTTATTTACATTTACCATAGTCTATGTGACAAGAAACGTTTTCTTGAAGTTCATTTCTGTTCTCGTTTTCTACTCTCCTTGTGAATTTTTAATCAAAATATTAAAATATACGACGTGCTAATAAATATTAGAAAATAATAAATACACCGCTTAAGCATGGCGATAATAAGGTATTCTTTTGAAAGATCGTTAAAAGGTCACAAAACTTTATGTCATAAGTGGCATGATTGTGTAGGTGGGGAGGGGGGGAGGTAAGCTATCAATCAGTCAGTTAAGAGAAGATATACTCAAATAACATTTAAAAAAACATAATCAAAGTCTATAACTCCTAAAAAATATCTATACATTATGTTTTTTAGCAACAGATTTATCAAACTGATCGTAATCAGTCAGAAAGAGGCAAAGGGATTGATCCAAATCTATATAACTAATAAAAACGTAAGATAAAAGATGAAAATCTACTTCGATCATTCTCAAAACATTTCCTCTGCAGGAAAAAACAAAATCTCTGAAGCCACTGTTAACTATGGGTCTATTGTGCGTTCGTTACCTTGAATACCCGTGGCCTTGTTATCAGAGTCTACCATCCTCCTCTCCCTGGCCAACCGTCACGTCTTGGTGGAAAGCTGAGGCATCGGCTGTACCTTCCTGAGCAAGGCGTCGAAAGGTGTTTTCATGGATAGTGTGTATTGTGGATATACATTCATATCCTTTATATGTGTGTGTATACATAAGTATGCAAATTCAAATTTATAATTCCCTTCTCCATTCATTCAGAAAGTTAATTCACGGTAAAATAAGATGCTGTTACATTTATCTTAATACCGTAACTGTTATCTGAAGAGAAAGATCTTATCACAGCATCAGTAGGCCTACATCTTGCTTATAATTTCACTTTATTACTGTAGTCAGTCAGAGGTTATTAGAGAATTCTTAATATATATTCTGAACGTGATTAATAAGAAAGTAGGGGGACATTTTGAGGCCAAGATATTACAAGATTTTTTTGAAAAATACGTTTTTTGACGTAACTTCTTGGTCAGATATCTTGGTCTAGTTACGTACATAATACATAATATCATACATAATCAAGTTTTTTTTTTTTCAAACTACCTCCAGAAGAAGCTTGCTATAGTTTCATGACATCACAGTAGTAAATAAGCCGACATGCCCGACAGATATAAGTGATTTAGATGAAAAT